ATGAGATCATGTGAGACGAGAGGAACTGGATTAAACTGTCGAGTAGTTTCTGTCGGGAATCCTTGAGCGACCAATCAGAACAGAGAGGGTGAGAGGGGTCGGTGAGAAGGAGAGAGAGGGATTCATATTCCTCTCGGCTAGACGAAACTGGCTCAAGTTTTTTCAAAATAGCCTCTCCCTTTTTATCTTTCTCTTCGAAATTTTCGACATTTGAAATAAATTCCATAAATTCTTGTTTACAAATTAGGTACAGTAAGTGAGTGTGGCCTGCACAATCTTCAAAAGGGCTCAGGAATTGAGTCACGTAATCCCAGTTGCCATTGGAGACCAGGTCTCGTAGGAAGGAGAGCTCTTGGGGTATGAGCATTTGAATATCTTTGAAACCAGTCACGTGACTTGCAACGAGGCCATCCAGTTTTGATTGATGAATAATGAGAGATTCGGGGTTTGAAATTGAAGTATTTTTAGTCTAAAGAAAGAGAATTATTATTGTTATTATCATTTTTAAAATAAAAATTGGTAACCCACCATTTGCACAATTTCCATAGCAACAAAGTGGGTGTGGCTCAGCAGCAACCTAGTTATAAAATGACGTCATTTTATAACTAGTTTCCCCGGGAGTTTTTAGCTTGTGGCGGGGAAAAAAGCTAGGCGTGGCTTAAGACTCAAAAATAAAATCACACAAAATGAGTAGAAGGTAAAGGAAAGATATGGTCCTGCTTATAATAATTATTATAACAGGAAAAGAAAACCAGTAAAGAGACTGATTATACAGTCAGACAGCTCTGAAGAAGGTAAATTAGCTTTTCACAATACTCACTACTTCAAGGACCTCTTTAATGGATGTGTCTCTCTTCACAGATGATGATGATGATGATTTTGTTCCAGTTACCAAGAAATTTATTAAATCCGAAAAGCTGTCAACAAATGAAAAGAGACTGAAGAGGTAAGGACTAAAGGGACCAGGAGTTGTGGATCATTCTTACGTTTATGGGACATGGGGTTGATATTGGTGGGTGTGGTTTTATGTACATGGGGAAACGATGTTGCATAGAAAGCTTGAACTGATTTCAATCAAAATTATATTTTTTGCAGAGACAGGTATCTAATTAAATAACTATTATAATTATTAATTGTAGTTAATAAGTTAATAAACTACTAATCTATGATTGGCATTATACTCACCATAGTTTTGATAGATTGAAATGCAATACCTGTGTTATAGGCATGTAGATCTACATTATAATATAATTATTTTGTATAAAGTTGCTTGTTTTTACTTTCACCAACAAGACACCATTCACTAGGTAGTACTATACTATACATTATTATCATGTCTCTCTCTTTCTCAAGATTAGTTCCATTTGATGATGAAAACACTGCAGCAACAGTACATGTAGTACAGCTACTGATAACTCGCTGAATGAGAAAGGTACAAAGTATTACATGTGACAGTGGTAAAGGATCATTATTGTTTATATTTGTATTTTAAAAGATAGTCCGATAAAGAAAGACACTGATTCTTCTTCTTTGATTACTGACAAGAAAGAACCAAATCCTCCATTACCTGAAAAGCAGCAAAAGCTATTAGTAACCATCCCACCAAACAAAGACTCCAAAACTAACCAAAACAAACCACTCCCTCAACCCAAGCCATACTGGAAACCACCAGGTCAGCACATCACCATAGCAACCATGCGTAACTATAGCAACTAGGTGCTGCTAATGGGAAGTCTAGTACATGTAGGTCCTCTTCATCTCTTGGCCCTTGTGTGAGGGTTGGGCTATCACGCAAAGCAAATATCAAACCACTTCATTCGTTAAAATAAAAACAGTTCTACACATTTATTGAAATGTGCAGCTGTTTTTATTTTAATTGAGACCTATGTACATGTATGTATGTTGAGATCTTATATTAGTATATTCTTGTTTATGCATTTTATAATAAGAGCGATTTGATAAATTTAATAATCTTTGTATTAAACTTAAATTTATTATTGTATAGCAGCAATAGTGCATGCACAGCAGTTTATAAACAGCAAATGTACTAACTAGCTTGCACTTGTACCAGCAAGTAGCACTAATAATATATTGAAGCAGTACAGCAGTTTATAATGTTATTGACGTGATTTCCTAGCAGTAGGTATCACTCCATCATTAGTATCAGTACTAACTGGTATTGTTACAGTATCTGTACCAACCCCTTGAGCTGATACCTGTACTACTATACCATCTAATGGCTCTCTTGGTATCTTGGGATCTCCAATAAGAGTCTTTTGCCCTCCATCACTGTCTATCTGTATGATTCTCTCTCTGTTTGGTGTTGTATGATCTTGAGTTACTTGTATGATAGCTCTAGCAAGGCCGTGATAAGCACTCCTCCATGGGGCCTGGTTTGGTTCATGGCATGTAGGGTCTCCATTACCTACTCCTATTATCCTCCCTGGTCCACTCACTATGCTAAATGATACATTAAGAGATGAACTGTGAGCTATTTTTCCATTGGCATCCATCAGTGCAGCACCCACCATCCCAGCATCTTGTCCATTTAGTAGCAGGGCTGATCCTGTTCCTGTTTCTTTACTAGGGACATCAATGAATGCTTTAATTGTCTTAGCTTCTCCTGTTGTCAGCACTGTATGAGTTGCTACTACAGTCTTCTTATCATCAATAGCTGTTGCTGTGAGATTACCTGCTGCAAAACTCACACTGTCCCATTCTGCCCATCCTTGCCAGACTAGTTCCTTAACTCCTTGCGATTTTCCATTGACAAAGAGCTCAGCTGAAGGCGCATTAGTGTAGACATGAATAGTGCGAGTTGTTGCAGCTTTATTCTCTTCCCAGTGCTCAACAATATGTACAAGGTAGCCATCTTGAGGATTGTCTTCAGAAGGCTCTGCTCCAGGATTAACCAGGCTGGGTGGATTAAGAGGTACATCAATGCCTCCTGTGCTGTGATTGTGCACTCCATTGTACAGCCACCAAGAGCGGTACCAATACGCAGAGGCTTTGGCAAATCCAGCCAAGTCGATTGAACCAAAAGCTGACGAAACATGAGGCCAACCACCGAATGATGGCTCGCCGTAATAATCAAATAAAGTCCACACCATGCAGCCAGCAACAAATGTTCTATTCAACTGATTTTCAGTTTCATCTTTGTTGCAGTTTGCATTAAAGTTTCCAAGTATGTACTTAGAGTTATCAGGGAAGTCTTCACCTCTTTGAGTCCTGCAAGAGCAGCACTCAGACCCAATGGTAGGCATCGAAGGAAACTGCTTGTGAAAGTCGTCAAAGACGCTACCAGACCGATGGGAGAATCCCTGTACATCAATATGTGATGTCAAACCATCTCCAATATGACTGTTCATGTTAGCAGTTACTGGTCGAGATGGATCTGCTTCTTTTGATACAGCTGTAAATGCTGCTGCTATATCTCCTTCAGCATCACCACGGTTGCAGCCTGCCTCGTTACAAAAAGACCAGGCCATTACGCTTGGATGATTCCTGTCCCTCCTAACCATGTTCCTTTGGTTTGCTACCCATATTGAGTTATTACCAAATTCCCTGTTCTCGTCCCATACTATAATCCCCACATTATCCATTATATCAAGCATGACTGGTATCGGAGGATTGTGTGACATTCGCCATGAGTTAGCACCCACTGCCCTCATGGACTGGGCCCTGAACAGGTTTATCCTGTCAGGAACGGCTACCCCGACTCCTGTGAAATCATTGTGATTGTTGAAACCTCTCCAAGTGAAATGGACCCCATTCAAAAAGAAGCCTTTGTCTGCATCCCATTTTGTTGTCCTTATTCCAAAAGTTACATTAATGGTATCAGTAGCAACCCCAGCCCATAGATCACACTTCATTGTATAAACGTAAGGCCTTGCTGGACTCCATATTTCAGCTTTTTGTAGTGCCATGGTACCTTCTAATATCATGAATTCTCCTGCATTGAAAGTATTAGGTGGAGAACCTGAAACATTGACCTGCTTCCCATCAGCATCAAAGATTGTAAGTTGAAAGTACCTCTTTTGTTCTTGGGTGTCCTCGTTAATGACCTCCATTTTGACGTCAAATGTCACAGAGTCAACATAACCACCTTTACTTATATCATTAGGATCATGTGCATGTATATCTCCATTGACTGCCATTGAAATGTAAGTTCCATCAGGTACAAGATGAATGATGTCAGCTGATACAAGATAAGTGTGACGGTATATTCCACCTCCTTCATACCACCAGCCCGAGTAGCCATTGTTTGGTGTACCATATACCACAAGGACATTCTCATTCTCCTTTCCATCACCGTAGAAAACGTTTGAAGCATTGTCAAGTTTAACATAGAAGCTAGTGTAGCCTGAGTCTTCATAATGGAGTTGCTGTCCATTCAAGTAGGTATTTGAAGCTCTGAATATTCCTTCAAAATACACCCAAATGTTTCTTCCTTTCCATTCTGCCGGAAGATTAAAATGCTTGCGATACCAAGTTGAGTTTTTAGGTAGATAGGCTTGCTTTTTTGGAGCATTGTCTTCACTATATTGACCAGAAATGATTGCATCATGAGGTAAATCAACAACCTCCCAATTGCTATCATCAAAATCCCGAGATGTCCTACCGTTAGTAGCAGGTGGAGGAGGTTTTGCCGGAGTCTCCCTTCCACCGCCAACCCATATACTACTAGTGTGATTGCAATCGGTACTCTCTCCTATCCAGCAGCCCTTAGTATCAGCATACTGCCATATTGCACACATTATGTTGCTGCAGCATTCTCCACGACATTCATCAGCACTTGCAGCTGTGCTTGCAGAACGAAGACCTCTACACTCGACTCCACTGAGGTTTTTGGGAAAGTCAGTCTCAGGGCAAGAGGTTGTACCAGTATTGTCACCTCCTAGCTGGAACCTCCATGCGAAATCAAAGTTGATCACTTCCCTGTTGGGATCTACTCCATTCTTTATAAGCTCAAGATTTGGAAGAGAAGATGAGAGAGAGGTTTGGGATAGTAAGCTTAGTAGCAGAAGAGTCACAATTTGCTTCATTTTGCTGAGTATGAAACTGCTTCACTAGCAAAGCATGATGTAGAAAAATCAAGCTAATTCATCAATCTACATTGCTATTCATAACAGAGTAACGAATATAATTATTTATAATTAACAGAAAGTATGTCCTGCTTGACTTTATTAGTAATACTAAATAATAATTATACTAAAATAATACAATATAAATACTAATTATAATTATAAATTGCTCAAATTCGTAATAAGGTTTTTATAAATATCTATGCCTCGTAAAAAGATTCTCTCATTTAGGAACTCGTCGTTATCATGGAGTAAGACAGGAGTGTGATTCATAGGGGAAAAACCTAAAACCGGAAGCCCCAGCTACGAAATGCAATAAATAAAAGAATTAATCATAACAAAAGAGCCATTTATTTACTTGTCTTAAGTAACGACTGTCTGTACCAGCTGGAAATATTTCTGTCTCAAGTTTCATTCCTCTATAACAAAAAATTTAAATATTAACTTTTCTCTTTCCACTCTGTTCTCCCTCATTAAATAAATTAGTCTCCTAATTCATTTTTTCCTCTCTCTTTCTCTCTCTACCCCCGGTACTAACAGAGTATCACAAGTATTCTTAAATTTCTTCCACCAAGGGTTCTTCGATTCATCTATACTGGTTGGATGGGCGTGGTCATCTTTATGAAGCCACTCAATTTCAAAGTCATCTCCGGCTGCATCTTTCAACCAGGCGTGTATCATATCCTTGAATTCCTTCATATCTTGAAGTGGTGTTACTCTTAAATCTATAACTAAATTAATTGACAATTTAAAAAATGAAAAAAATCAAACTACATCTAATGTCAATAATAATGTTTTTGTGAGTGGGCGTATAAGTTAATTAAATGTGTGGGTGTATATTGTACCAGTTGAGACTTCACTAGGTATAACGTTAGGCTGCACTCCTCCACTTAACACTGTGATGTTGATTGTATTGACATGACCAAGTTTCAATGAACTGTCTTCTTTTAATCTAAATTAAACTTGCTTAAAAACTTGGCCAAAGTCCCTGTACTATAGTACATGGTCATCGATCAAATTTTGGCAAAAATGAAAAGTAGAAAGCTCTCCATTTTTATAATTTTTTCTGATGCATATACATGTACTTGTGCTACGTAGAAATTTTGAGCTAATTCCAATCAAAATTAGATTTTTTATGAATTCTTAAAGTTATTCTGAAAATTGGACCATGTAGTAAAGCCTGTACAGGGCCTCAGGCCAAATTTTGGCAAAGATAGCAAGAGAAAATTTTCCATTTTAATATAATTTTTCTGATACGTTTACATTGAAACTTTCTATGCATACATTACATGTACATGTACATGTATTACCTCTTTTCCTCGTTCTTCCTAAAGTCCATAAACTTATTCATAACTTTAATAAGTTTCTCAGCAGCTGTCTCTTCGACAAAACGAGAGGCGTGGCCAGGACACCCAAAACAAGTAACTTTTAACCCTTCAGCACAAAATAAATAAACTCTCACTAAAATTACAATAGCTTACATAGTATTGTTCTCTCGGCATAAAAAACTGTAAAAGCCTCAGTTGGGTTAGCAAGACCTATATAAAAGTGGAAGTGTCTGTAAAAAATTTTATGGGTGAGCTTGAAAATTTTATACCCTCGTCAAGTGCAAATCCGACGTTAAGCATTTTAAAGGTTTCCATCTTTAAAAACGGCTGCATTCCTTTTAATCCACCAATTTCTTCATCTGCAAGATTATTAAAAATATTAATGATTAAGCAGTAATACTACACAAGTATTGAATATGGTGTGACTCACAGATTATAATTATAATTAATATAGTTAGTATCACTTTAATGTAGCTATTTTTTATAGTGAATATACCTGGTACATAGGTTAAGTGAATGGTCCTTAGTGGCTGGAATCCTGAGGCTTTCAGTAGCCTAATGGCCTCCAGATACTGTATACCAACACACTTCATGTCCTGATGAGAGAGACAGCATAATGAAAGAGAGAGGGGAAGGAGGGAGAGAGAGGAAGGAGAGAGAAAGAGGGAGGGGGAGGGGAGAGAGAGTGTGTTACAACCTGTGCTCCTCTAGCCATTATGTCTCCATTTTCTCTCTTTACTGCTTCAAAAGGATCGCAGGACCATTTCTCCTAAAAAGTATTTAAATAATAGCTAAAAATCAGAAGCCAAAAATATCAACATGAAAACTGTGGCAATAATAAACCTTTTAAATTAATTTTATTATAGTACATGTATCTTCACTTACAGGGAAGACGGGTACAACATCCATATGAGAGTTGAGCATCAGAGAAGGTAGAGCAGTGTCTGTTCCTTCCCAACTCATGATGACCACGTTTCTTTCTGGAGCAACCTGTCAGTCATTGAATGATTGATAGAAAGGAATTTCCGTGGAGATTTATACATTTTGGTACAAAAAACATCACTAATAGATCGTCAATTCATTCAAAACACTGAATCAAATCACATCCTTTATTAAAATTACTCTCTGCCATGAAGACTAACTTGAATGCATTGATAAGACAAGCCGATCTCATATGCTTGGCCTTTTAAAAATTTAATTGCTGGAGCTGTAGGGATGCATACAAGAAGAACAAATTAATAATAATAATAATAACATATTATTAGCATCATAATTATCATCATTATTACTATAGAATAATACATATACATATAAAGTATTCTTTAAATACTGATGGCAGAAAGAGGCTCCAAACGACCAAACGTTATAAACAATAACATACAGTGAAACAGAGCATGTTTTTATACCATAATCAGGATTTGGCTGCACGGTCTTGATTCTTAAATATTCTCTAAACCTGCTAACAGCTGGATCCTCCTCTACCTCCAGACTAGGACCATTAGTCACTCTACCATCATCACTACCATTCATCTTTGTTTAATTGGTGGGTGTGGTCAAACATATTTTAATGTTTTTTAAAGGAGGGAAGTTAAAGTTTCGAGGTGATATTTTGTAAAGGGGAGAGTAGCCATGTCTTTGTTTAAGATGAGGGACTGGTGGTCTACTGTGTCTGGATACGAGGAGTTTCATACTAACGGCTCACTGACAATAGCACCAGTAGCCACAGAAACTGAGAACAAAAGTACATGTACCTGTACATTATTAATTATTTTTATGATATTTATATGTTTTAGATGTCATCATAGTTGGTAGTTTTAGTTCTATACTAAGAGTATACGGACCCACTCAAGGCTCCTTCTCTCCCGATCACTTGCTTCTTGAAACCCAGTTAACCCAACCCATTATTAGCCTGGGGATAGCCAAAGTTAAGAGGTATGAGCATGTACACATGTAGTTTATGTATTATCATAAAATGGTCGTAACTTGAAAAATTGAAGTCGGAATCAGCTCAAACTTGCTATGTAGCATAAGTACATCAATATGTATCAGAAAATGTAATAAAAGTTGGAGGTGGTTTCGGAGCCATTTTTTGGAAAAAACCATGGGCTATAGCCTTGGGTATTTTTCAGATTTTGGCTCATTTTTTTAAATGGCCGTAACTCGAAAAGTCGAAGTCGGAATCACCTCAAACTTTCTACACAGCATAAATACACCAATATGTATCAGAAAATGTAATAAAAATTAGGGGTGATTTCAGAGCCATTTTTTGAAAAAAACCATGGGCTATAGCCTTGGGCATTTTTCAGATTTTGGCTCAATTTTTAAAATGGCCGTAACTTGAAAAATTGAAGTCGGAATGAGCTCAAACTTTCTACAAAGCATAAATACATGTACATCAATATGTATCAGAAAATGTAATAAAAATTAGGTGTGATTTCGGAGCCATTTTTTGAAGGCTATAGCCTTGGGTATTTTTCCTAATTAAATTAATTTGTTTTATGACATTATTCTTCCTGTTTCTAGCACTCTCCCATCTCTCCTGGTCGTCCTTCATCCAAGATTACTAGTATTCTACTCTTTGTCTCTTAACTCCGGTCAAGTTGGTCTAACAGCTTTTAGTCAGCACTCACTTAGCCACACCTCCCACAGTATGGTCATTGGAGGGTTCGGTAAAATTACTGAGCAGCTGGTTTGTGTCCAATCGCTTGACGGTCAGCTATCAGTTTATGATCACAACAGTGAAATACTTCGTTATAATTTGCCGAATTTCTTGTTGCCCGGACCCTTTGTTTATGTTTTTCGTACCGATACTTTTCTTGTGTCCAGTAGTGGGCGGAGCCTTGATGCATATAGATACCAGACACTCTCAAGTGGGTCAAAGGCAAGGAAGAGTAAAGTGAGTAAAGGGTTAAAAATAATTTAATAATTTGTGTTACGTGTACATGTACATATTTACATTTATTAAGCATTAGTGATGATAGGTAATGATCAAATTGATACATGAAGATGTATATGTACTTACATTTACAATACATGTATGTAATTAATACTAGAAGAATGTGAAACATTAAAGGGGCTCAGCTCCCTTGAGCAGCACTATTATTGTGCTGTATGACCTTTCTTGCTGCTAGGGAAGTCTTTGGATAGCAGTTTAGTTTTATCTTCCTGACCGTTTGCTGCTAATAAGCAATTGAACCTAGACTTACTGATAGCCGCCATTTTATTTCATTGTGACCACACCCACTTTCAATAAAGATTAGGCTATTTAACTTGAATAATAGTTAGATGATCCTATCATCCCTGTACATAATTTTAGTGATAATTTTAAATAATAAAATTATTTACTACAAATTTTAGTGTGATTGGTCTTTGCTACTAAACGAACCAGTTGTTGATATGAAAGTCATTTCATCTGACGGAGGTCCCTGGTATATTATGGTACTCGGAGAGAGGAACTTGTATTGCTTGGAAGATCTCGGTATCGTTTTGTTTTCAAAGAAATTGGAATCTTATGCCACCTGCATTCTTCCTTATAAATACAGTAAGGAGAGAGAGAGAATGAGGCTTATAATTATTGTATTATTGGGCAAAAATTTGGCTGGAAGCTTTGCAAATTTTTAATAATTTTTAACAAAATTTTGTGGTTGAAGTTTGCATTAATATGACCATTGAAGTCAGAGCAATCTTTAAAATATTATTAAATTGCAAAATTCTAAATTGTGTACATATACATATAGGCTGTAGCTTTTCTAAAAATAATATTATCTTTATCTTTTTTTTTTCTATTATTTATAAATAATCCATTCTCTATTTCTTGTCTTCCTTCCCTCATACAGACAGTTCACCAGTGCCTACTATTAATTACATCATGGCCGGTCACTCCCAGCAGCTGCAAGTGTTCAGTAATCAAGTGATGGTTTGGTCAGCTCAACTCTCTCATCCTCCAGTATCACTCGCTGTCGGGAAATTTGAGTGAGTTTGTATGACATACATGTACATGTACTGTATACCATACAAGATGATTAAAGGTGGGTTCTCAATATGACACATTGCTTTTCATGCGCTAACGTCACGACCGGAAGTGCTGTATAAACCAATGGGAGAATACGTCAATGCGTCAGAATGGAAATGTTTTCTAATCTGACGCATTGACGCATGTTCCCATTGGTTTATACAGCACTTCCGTTTGTGACGGACGCACATGTGTCATATTGAGAATCCACCTTTATTGGCGAGACTACTGCGAGAGTAATAGTTGATGAATTTGCCTGTGGAAAGTTATTGGCAAATTTTATATTGTCGATTTTGTGCAGCCATGTGCCATTAAGCATGCTCAGATTGAAAAAAATGGTGGATTTTATATTGGCAATTTCTTCATAAAACCACCAATCGCCAATACCGTAGGTCGGGATATATTAACGGCTGCTTATTTTCACGATTTTTTCCCGCACTCAGCAATTACCATGGTTACCAGATGCAATTTTAATTGAAAAATCCGCGATATTAATAGCAAAGGACTCTGTTGCAGTGTTCTTGGGTTGTTGTTCTTCTTGCTGTTACTAATCCATGGTCTCTTTGGAGCTGTTTCAACCAGAGCTACTCTCCTCACTCTGCCTCGCCGTATCTTGGCCCATTCTTGGGACTCACCACCCATTTATTGACTTGGGCGTGGTTAATTATCACCTGCAAGTGGAGCGACAAGGATTTGCAGCTAAGAGCTCAAAGGTAGTGGTCCATACAAGAAGATAGCGGATGGAGAACTGGATGGCTCCCACTAAAGCTGCTAAAGAATAGATAATTAGCTGCTGAACACTGCAATTGTATAAACACAAGGTCTTATTGTCATAGCAACAATCAATTGATTTCCATGGTATTTAATTGAACCTTTTTATTAGTTTTTATTATCGCGAAAATAAGCAGCCGCGAATATATCCCGACCTATGGTATTTACAAATTTAGTATTTAAATAGGAAAAGCATATGCCAAAATAAACCCCACCATTTTGAACCATATGTACATGCTCAATGGTATAATAAATTAATAATAGTTTCCTGTTACCCACCCACACATACCTACATCATTAATAAAAGTCAATAGTTAATAATTATTAATAATCACTACAAGGTATGACAGACTGTAATATTGAAATGACATAATAATATATCAGCACAATGTAAACACACTTATGTGTGTGGGGGACAGTATTTAATTGTTTCGACGAGTTTTCATCTCTGTGAACTTGAGACTAATGTGTGCCATGTTCCAATGCCACCAATTAGTTGATTGAGGATCATTAGTTGCAGTATTAAAGTAACGACCATTAAGATTTGAAAGTTGGCAATTACTATACCACCAGGCACCAGTGTAGAGCTGAGCACAGTTATCTCCTGACACATCATTATCATTATCTCTTGTACTGAATCTCAGTCCATTATGAAAGGCCAGACTATCCCCAGCAGTACCAGAGTATCCTCCTACTGTTAGTATATATTCAGTACTACCATCACTAACATTAAATGTAGAGTAGTTAGCATATCTTGTGCTCTCCGCAAAGTCTTCCAGGTCCACTCTTAGTGTGTTTGATCCTTCTTTTGTAAGACGATGAATCTTGCTCAATCCTAACCAAAACTCACCAGTAAGGTTACCAAATCCATTCTCATAGTCAGTCCAGTTCCTATAGAAATCAACAGATCCATCTTGTCTCCTCTGAAATACAGTCCATCCACCACCATCAGTCTCCATATCACAGTATACCTGTGATCCAATAGTGTATAATTATAAATTACTTTTAACTAACTTCAAATGGAGTCCCTCCATCAGGATTAACAGTATAAACACCACTAGTATTGCTACCATCCTCAAACAAACTCTTACAGTCACTGATATCTACAATAAGTATATCATGAACAATTCCAGTTATATACAGTACCTGATAAACAAGACTTTGGTCGTACTTTAGGACATAGAATATATCTTGTTTTACCAATTCCTCTAATGATAACAGTCTGTCCTAAGTTGCTGCTGTTACAGCATACTCTTAGATACAGTGATGGTTCATGTTTATATCCAGTACAATCAGCCATACAATAAGATCCTTCTCCTTCATCAATGGTAACTATTAAACACAGCAGCAACAACATAAAGATGAACATCTTTGACATTTCTCTAGACTGTACGTGAGCTTGACAAGGACTGGAATTTAAAGCTACCTGTATACTGTTACTGTTTACATTTGAAATTTTTATTAAATTTCCTGCCACATTTTATTTCTTATTACACAATAATTGCTCACATTAGGCCTTGTAACTGATTCTTTATAGTAGTTCTAAACTAAGCAGTACAGTGGAACCTCGCTTAACGACCACCTCTAAGTAACGGCCGTCCATCATATAGCGGCCAAATGTCCGGGTCCGGATACAAACTACACTTACTTGCCTGTTAAGGCAACCCCTGAAGAACGACCACCTCTCTATTGCGTATAACGAGCACTCAAAATGTCCCCAACACAGCATAAAGCATTGAGAAAAACTTCTCTTTAACGGCCATGTGGCCACACCCATCACCTAGACCGGATGTTTTCATCATGAAACGTCATCTATAGCCCCACCCATATAAATAAAATGGCTGAAAACTTGAGCATGCCCTTTCTTCTTGCTGTAATTCGCTTATTTTTCCTGCTACCTCTTACATACTACCTGCAGGATCTTTGTACTTGTTATTGACCTGAGGAATGAATCAAGATACTTAAGAAGGCAACACAGTTAAATATCTCTTAAGTTAGACACTTTAAACTGAAACCCCTCAATAAAGACCACCCCTGTATAACAGCCAAAGGACCAGTTCCCAATGGTGACCGTTATACAGAGGTTCCACTGTAGTTTTAAGCTTAGGCAAAGCCCTATACTGATGAAGTGAGTCAGTATGTACAGACAGTATAGAATTGTCTAACTATTTTTAAAGTTTAACAACCTCATCTTTACAGTGGCGGATCTATGGGGGGGCCAGGGGGGGCAATGCCCCCCAAAAATTTTTTGGAGTAATGTAAACTTTGGTTTACCTATGTAAACTGTGAAGCAGCTGCAGTACTGGACTATGTAAACAATCTTTAAACCACAATAGAGCTCATTTTAACAGGCTTAGTCTTTATAATTTTTACTTCCCTAAAAGTTTTGCACAAGCTTAGTTGACCACACCCCCTAATTACCCCCTCCCATCTCATAATTGCCCCCCCAA